GAGGCGCTCAAGCCCAGCGTCATCGTGCCGGGCCACGCGATCGTCGGTGATGTCGCCGACATTGACTCGCCCGCGTTCACGGCCAAGTACATTCGCGACTTTGACATCGAGACGCCCAAGGCCAAGAACAGCACGGACCTAATTGCGGCCATGACGGCGTTGTATCCCAAGGCCGGCAGCGTCACCAGTCTCGAGATCAGCGCCAAGGTCGCCAAGGGCGAATTGAAGTGGTAGAGATTGTGTCAGCAGCATCCTCTAATTTCTGCATCAATTCTGTTTATTTACTATCAAGTATGGATTCGATTCGTTTTCTCGAAGCTACAAGGTTGATCATCAGCGTTGACAGTGAGGCCGAAGACAACTGGAATGATGGCCGCACAGTCACGGCGGCAATGTCACGGAAAGAGTGATGCGTGGATCATGCGATTCACCAAGGAGCATAAATGTATTTATGCTCCTTGAATTCATGTATTTGGACATTGGAAACAAAACATCATTGGCGGGGACTCTCCGTGACGATCGCTCGTCGACCGTTTCGGCGCTACGGATCACGTGGCAGACTGACATTTGCCAGCAGTCTTTGCGTTCGAATTTGGGTAGGATGGCACACCAGGCATTCACAAAGCAAATAAATTTATGCATGACGCAGGCGGTGTGCGGTCGTCAATAGTTGGAAACGAGGCTTTTACTGTATTGGTTTGTTCGTTGCGTTGCACTCAGCCATAAAACTGCGCACGGACAATTTAGATTCTTCGAGTTGCTGCCAAATCGACCACCCCTGGATGAACTAGTCCGATTATCGGACACCGGCGTTGGAGGGTTAACGACTGAGGATGGACCTCATTGTACATGTTGTGCGAGTCGAGGGCGTGGCTACGGCGCAACAGTGGCAAGGGTGTTGCTTCGAGTTATCGGCCACGCTTTGAGTATCGACAACGACCAGAAAATCAAGTGGTACTTCCAGGCGCAGCAAGGAAGCTGAGTTTTTGCCGTCCAGATAGACGCGATGAGTCGACAGTAGGCTAGTTAGTCAATTTGCATTTAGCTTTGTCGATCCTAACTCGCCACGCCACTCCTAATGGCTAGCGGTCAATCGAGTCGTCTATTGCCCCACTCAAGCGTTTTACAAGGCGAAA